TATCTATAAAAACCATTAGGGGTTACAAAAGCAGATATTTCTTTTGCACGGTCAGATAATGGGATTTGCCAGTATCCTGAAAGTAAATCAATTTTGGAAATTATCTTAGCCTGACCAACTTTATCAATAACGTCTTCTATCCGAGGTAATGGATAGGAATCAACTTTGGTGAGCGCATTCACCTTCCTAAAGTCGGTCACAAACCTGAAAGATCCACCGTCTTTCGGGACTAGGAGACATGGGGAACTCCAGTTGCTGAAACTGGGCTCAATGATATCATTCTTGAGCATATAATCAATTTCATCTTTTATCAAAGCAGCTTTTTCCGGGTTAACTCTATAGGGGTGTTGTTTAATGGGTTTTGCGTCACCAACGTCTACATCATGAGGTGGAACCTTCGCTTCTCTGGGGACATCCCCAAAAATAGAGGGAAATGTCTCAAATAATTGAGACAATCTATGGCTTTCCTCTGTGGACAAATGCATAAGGTGGACATTCAAATTATCTAAAAAGGAAGAATTTACCAATTTTGGGGGTTTCAATTTATCATGTATCACATCATCAGAAACATTTGAACATACAGGTAAAGTAATTTTAGCTGTGGAATGAAAATTGTTACAATTATCATAATACTTTTTCAGTGAGTTGACATGATACACTGTCTGTTTCTTTCTTCTGTCGGGCGTATTGACAACATAGTTCAAATCACTTAATTTTGAATGCACAGTAAAGGGTCCACAATATCTCAAGGATAACGCATTGTTCAGATTAGGTACTAGCACAAGAACTTTGTCGCCTGGATTGAATGTTCGTTTACAAGAACTCTTATCATACAGTTCTTTCATTCTAACTTGGGCCTTTCTTAAGTTCTTGTGAGCCATTTCGCACACGGCTTTCAGTCGAACGTGAAAATCGTCGAAGTTTTCCACTGGATGATCACTGGTACCTGTCCAACGTTCGTGTATCAGCTTCAGGGGGCCACGGACAGAATGTCCAAACACAAGTTGAAAAGGCGAGTAGCCTAAAGAGTCCTGGACACAGTCCCTCGCGGCGAAAATAATCCAAGGAACAGACTCATCCCATTGGGTGTTACTGTTAGCGAATGTCCTTAGCATGGTTTTGAGGGTTTGGTGGAACCTCTCAAGTACGCCTTGAGACTGAGGGTGGTAGGCTGAGCTGGTGATGTGGGTAACGCCTAGCTTGGCTAGTGCTTCCTGAAAATGGTGACTGGTGAAGTTGCTGCCTTGATCTGTTTGCACGATTCTAGGTAATCCAAAGGTAGTGAAGAACCGGGTCATGGCTCTGACTACAGTCTTTGCCTTAATGTTCCGTAAGGGAATCGCCTCGGGAAAACGGGTACATGAACACATAAAGGTAAGTAGGTACTCGTGGCCCGCCTTGGTTTTAGGCAAGGGACCTACACAGTCCATGACGATTTTAGAAAAAGGTTCTTCTAATACAGGAATCGGACTCAAAGGGGCCTTAGGAATTGTCTGGTTTGGCTTTCCGGCCAACTGACAGTTCGTGCAACTTCTACAGTAACGCGACACATCTTTTCTCATTTTGGGCCAAAAGAACAGTTCTTTGATCTTCGCCGTCGTTTTAGTGACACCTGGGTGCGCTGACATTGGATGGTCATGTGCCAGCTTAAGTATTTCATGCCGATAAGGTGGAGGGATCCACAGCTGGTTTTTACCCAACCATGGTTCGGCCGGTGATGCAATCACTGGTATAGCGCGACGAAAGAAGAGGCCGTTCTCGGCGAAATATTCTCCATCGTCAGATGATAGAGATTTTTCGACCGCTGCTTTGAGTTCCGCGTCGACTTGTTGAGCTTTAATGATGTCTTCCTGAGATATTCTCAGGGGTAAGCCCAAGCTTGTGTTTTCTGGGAGCATAGACTCCAGTTTGGGAGTCGAATTTCTTGACGATGACGGCGGGTGTGGTTCAGACGTTGTGTCAGCCAATTGTTTGGTCTGGCTTCTTGTCACCGCACATGCAGGATACAGATCATGATCATTATCTGGAACTGTTGACGAAGGGTCTGAAACCGTACAGGGGTATACTTTGCTTCCCGCAAGGTCATTCCCTAGAAGTAGGTGTACTCCTGGGACTGGAATACTATCTATCACACCTAAAATGACCTCACCTTCGACGAGATGATGTTTCAGGGCAAACTTGTGTAGAGGGACGACAGTAGATTTTGTCCCCACTCCCTGGATAATGGAAATCCTTCCGGTGTTCGTCTCAGGTGAAATGTCCATTGAACTTTTCAAAAGGAGCGATTGTGACGCTCCTGTGTCTCTTAGGACGGTGATATTCCGCTGAGACAACGGATCACCTGGTTTGCTAATGATGGCTTCGGCAATAAAAGATGAAAAGTCAACTTTTCTCGATCTCTCGAGATCGGTAGACTCGGCAGAAACTGGATGGTGGCGAGAACAGTCAAAATGTGACTGCACATAATGTGTGGAGATTTGACTACCTTCTTGCGGACACTTAGGGTTAGAGTCCTTTTGAATTCTAGAGTTCATAGTTGAACTGGCTGCTCGAGGGGATAGAGCATAGTGCGCGGAAGTACGCACCACTTCTCTGTTATTCTGAAGACGTTTGTAACAGTCTTTGACAAGATGCCCAGACCTTTTGCAGAACTGGCATACTGCTCGACGATTGAGAGTTGATCTTGGTTTCTCTCTGGACTGTGATGCCTTCAAATGTTGGCCAACAGGATGATTGCTGCCAAAAAGGGGAAGCACGGGGTTGAGGCGGTTTCCTGACACTGGTGGTTTCGTATGCACCAACATATATGTGTCAGCCGACTCAGCAGCCTTCTGGATGTCAGCTATCTTGTTATCCAGAATGTGTAGTCGTATCTCTTCAGGCAGGGACGATAGGAATTCTTCCCTTAGGATAAGTGACCTGAGTTTCTCAAACTCAGAAACTTCCTCAGAGTGTAGCCACCTTGAGAATATTTTCTCCTTTTCAAAGAGAAATTCCACATATGATTGTGTGGGTAACTTGCGGAGTGTTCGGAATTTTGTCCGATAGGCCTCGGGCGTCAGTGCGTAGGCCTTTAAAATGGCAGTCTTGACCAAACTATAGTTATTTTGAACGTCGTGAGAGAGTGCCTGGTATGTTTTTGCAGCTTTCCCAGTAAGGACAGAGCTCAATAAAGCAGTAATGGAAGTTTCGGGCCATTCACATGTCTTCGCTAAACTCTCAAACGAGTTAAAGAAAACGACCAAATCTGTTTCATCAAATTTAGGAACTAATTTCCCAAATTTGGCAATCACTTGCCCTACCGACAACTTTTTTGGATCTACCAGAGAAGTAACATCACTAACTTGACCAAACTCTAATTCCAACCTCCTCTTATCTAAAGCAATTTTAGCCTCTATCTTCTGTTTCTCTAAAGCAACTTTCTCCCTCTCTAGAGCAATTTTAGTTTCAAACTCCTTTTCTTTTAAAGCCTTCTCTAAAGCAATTCTAGCTTCTAATTCTACCTTCTCTAGAGTTTTCTCCTCGCGGAGTAACACATCCGCCAACAAACTTTCATCAAATACTCCTTCATTAATGAAATGAACAACAATTTTATCTCTCAACACCTCTGACTTCTGCGTAACAGAATAATCCAATTTCAATTCCTTAACTACACTAACCAAAACTTTTCTACTCAACTTTTCTACATCTTCAACAGTAGGATTAGCCAAAAAAGACTCCATAACACTAACTTTCAAATCACAACAAGCCTAGATTCTTTAAATTAATACACAGCGTTGGGCCGTGTACTTGACCTCTAAATGTAGGACGTGACACGTCTGCTTATTTGACCTAGATACTCTAGCCTGAGCGCGCGTCGTAAGAACACTGCGCTACTGGATATAAAAACAACTAAATCCAACTAACCTTAGTATTCAACTGATATAACCAACAACTGGAACGACAGATTAAATCTCGGCGAGCTCCCACTTTGTAACGTTAACCTCTCTATCAGCCAAATAGAAGGAGAACGTCCCCGGATTCTTTTTTCGGGGTCATATGCAAATGCCTTACGGCCTAAGTGGATGAACACTTAACACAACGACCACTAGGGCTCGAATTTAATGTCTAGGGAAGCTAGTGATACTATTGTAATTAACACTCATCCAATCTACATACGACCTTTTAATCAGCGAACACAGTTGTGGCAGAACACAAAGATGAACTAGATAAAATATTTAATGTATAAAATATCAAAAACCCAACTTACACAATGTAGGAAAAAACACTATCACAGATTTCTACACTGTCTAAAAAACAGCCACAGGCCACACAACACTGCTGTAGTTTCTAGAATTACTTAGCGACAAGTAATATTAAACTAGAAGACTAAATCAACTTAAGAAAGCAAGGCACACACAGGTCTTAAGTACTCTCACGTTCAAATGGTCAGAGTCTATAGCCGGACAATATGGACGGCAATGGTCTTAATAGACTGATCAAGGTAGACGGCCTGACCAAGGTAAACTGCCTGCGACAAGTCTCAAATGGAGACTCACAGATCACTCAAGGCCACTTGAGCTACTGTTCTCGTGCTGGTTGTGTTTCCTATGGTGTGACACTTTACGTGGTTCTAACCACTAGGCCACTAGTGGTGTTCCTAACCACTATGCCACATTACTCGGCAGCAAGCCGAGTTTCTAAGCCACTAGACCACTAGACACCATAGACTCTACTCAGTTTCTCACCGAGTATTCGAACCTCGGCCGCCGCCGTGGCGCGCCGAGATCCTAGCCATTGAGCTATGGGGTAGTCATCTGATCAGAATCATTCAATCAGATTTTAATGGAAAATTTCTATGTCTCAAACACCTTAATAAGTCAGTGGAAAAACCCCAGGTGTTACACCATCATTCCATATAAGGAATTATACAATGTCAAAATAAAAATGACTCGACCTAAGTAGGTCACAATGCAACAACATACACAACATGTACTTATTCATGCTAGTATGTATTCATATTGTACATATCCATGCCAATGTGTATCCATATTGTGCTTATCTATGCTAATATGTATCCACATTGTACTTATCCATACTACTATGTATCCATTGTATCAGGGTTTATGTTTATGGAGACACTGAGCCTACTGGGAAATACTGGGACAAACTAAAGAAAGAAAAAGTCACATTTGTCCACGTAAGTTTAACTAAAACAAAAAGACTGCTATAGGCATACCTATACTTCTGGAGTCTTGAATACACGATATCAATATGTATTATCTTAAACTTCAAACTACAATTCTTAATATATAAACATAAAACTACTATCTGCATTTCAGTTCATTTAAAAAACTTCAAGTTTTATTTTCTACTAGCCGTCCCGGCCAGGCCCTGCTCTGGCTCCTGTGAAAAACCTTTCTGTTAAAGACCATTACCTGTGTGTTTAGTAATCATCATAAACCCGGCATTGCCCACCCAAACCACAACCAACCAAAACAACAAAACGCAAACATAACGCTAACACAATTACAAATACAAACGAAAACAAAAACCTAACAATAAACCCAACCGCAACCACAAACACCAATACAAACACAAAGAAAAAACTAACAAAAAAGCAAACGAAAACAAAAACCTAACAACAAACCCAACCACAAACACCAATACCAACAAAAAAAAACAACGAAAAAGCAAAAGAAAACAAACCAAATCCAAACGCAAAACCAACCAAAAACACAAATACAAACCCAAAAAGAAAAACACAAACAAAAACGAAAAAAGAAAGAACAAAAACGTACCAAATCAAAACGCAACCACTAACGCAAACCCACCTAAACACAAAGAAAACACTAACGCGAACATGAACGCCCGGGGCGGAATCACCTGTTTTAGCTTAATGAACGACTATAGTACCCCAACTTATTCATAGTCTTTTGCACTCACTTAAACAATCGCGCCTGTTTCAATTTAATGAACAATTTTAATACTCCAAGCTTATCCGTAAAATACCTACAACATATGCACTCGATCAATCCCCGCTAATTATGTAATTATTTTTTTTTCCAACACCAAAACAAAGTAATTAAAAAGTAAATTCTTTTCGACAAATGCAATGGTTTTATAAAGGGAAGTAATTGTGTTTTCATAATTTATCAAAGGGAAGTAAGTGCTATAGGACTAAATAAAGACATAATTATCATTTTTGTAAAAGATGATATTTTTTTAAAACTTGTGTTTAATGAACATGCCGACAATTATTACTATAATTTGAAAAATGAAAATTATTTCCCAACACTTTCAATAGTAATTTTTTAACTCATAAATTTAGACAAATGCGCACGATAATTGTCTAACACTTAAATCCATCCAAGACCAACGACAAACATATGCGTTACATACAGAACTGAGCTTTATATATTAGATTCTAAAAGAGTATTATTAGCAATAGTGAAATAGTATTTGTTTGGGCTATTTTTCAAAGCTAAAATGAACAACTTTATAACTGAAGAAGTTGTGGAGTTTGTTAATCTTATTTTCATTGCGTTTAAAGCTTTTTATTTTTAAAAAAATATAATTGTTTTAAATGTAATATTATTTGGCTACATTTCGTATCTGAATTAATTTTTTCACAAATGTCTAATTTCTACGAAAGATATCACAAGGTTCTATGGTTTTTACTCTTTTTAAATAGGTCTCTACTCGATCACATACAAAACAAAATACAAGCCCATTTTTAACCATTAAATTTCCGATAGCATTAGAAATGCGGTCATTGCATTTTATTTGTTTGACATTTTAATGCAATTATATAGAAATTGTATAATAAGATATTATTATAATTTTCTTACAGATAGATAGTATTACCTCAATATTTCAGCAGCAAATCAAGGAAAGGGTGCATAAAAAAGAAGTTTTAAAAGCTTTGGTTCTACATAAATTTGGAGGAGTATATAATGTAAGTTTAGTAACCTATAGTACGTAAAAACTTTTCTTGTTTAAAATCAAAGTTAGCTATTTTAAGTCATTATATTGTGCAGTTTTATACATCGATTCTTGGATATCAAGAATTGGATGATGGGGTTATGGGGGTAATTTTAATCCATTTTCCCTATAATTACTAAAATAACACACTTCAAATCTAATTTTAAGGACTAGGATGTGTTAACTAAAAATTTAACGTAGAATCTATTATGGTTATGTTTTATTTTTTTGCTCTAGGATAACGACGTGCTTTGGATGAAGCCGATTTCTGAAGATCTCCGAGGGTACCCGACCGTAGCTAGCCTGGAACTGTCAGGTGAAGCAGAGTTTTCTAGAGTGGTCAGCAGCCGCGTCCTCGTCTCCAAACCCAAGGCTCCATTTTTTACTCACGTACTGAAGGCTTTTTGGTATTTTGTTTTCTGATTTTTTAGACCTGTTAAAATGTGTTTCCGAATATAGAATATACATCTGGTAAGGTTTTTAAGACAAGAAACCTTTTTGTTTTAAATTATCTTTTAGGCCGCATGTTTGGGAGGGTTTTCCAGCACACTGCGTGGTGTTATTTCTGAATTTAAGCCATTCAAAATTTGTTTTAATTGATGCTTTCAATAAAAAAAAATTAATTATGTAATTATTAAAAGCACAATAGATGATAAAAAAATTAAATTATTTTGATAGCTAATTTTTTTAAAGATTGAGCTGAATTGGATGTATTCAAATTGATTTTTGTGCAATAGCCTATGTTAATCTAATCCATTTAGTAAACCATCTTAATTAAGATCTATAGTGAAAATTTACAGCGTAAATTTACAGCAACATTTACCAAAACCAACCCAACCCTTTTCTTACGCACGGATCTCCACGCGATGTTACTTTACAAAACTAGCACGGCCTATTTCACATTAATATCATAGCGTAAAGTCAAAGCGCTTTGTGTGACCCACACGGCCTATTAACAACAAGTAAAGCTTTCATTTCGCTGGTTCAGTTCATCTTAAAACTCTTTTATAGTCATTCAACTAAATGCGCTGCCGGGGAAACAAGATTTTACAAATATTTTATTATCTTATAACTAAAGGTATTCTAGAGAAAACATAACTGCTGTCACCTCAGCACAAATATACTACAAGATACTTGAGAGGTACCGGGACACGATACACCTTGATAAAAATCTACAGGTATGTTAACTCATTAATGTTGTTTTAAGGCAGCTATCAATAATTACATTTAACACGTCGTGCGTAAGTTGTTGTTTCTGATAGTGGCGGAACAATATTAATGCAAATCACACAGAATATAGGTATTTGAGGGAGGGGGGGGGCGTTTAGGGGGCCATCAGTTAAATTAAAAACATAATTTTAAAATTTTATGTAAGTATATCTTTCACTTGATAGCGAATTTTATAAAAAAAAATACTCTAGATGTGGTTGGGCCCTCTTTCAGTCACTAAACTACGCGTTTGGTACACACAATAAAATAAAATTACAAAACAACTGTTTTATGGGAAAACCTTCAAATTATGCTCTATGCTCTATGTCGAGCCGAACAGGGAGAGTAACTACTTTCATTTATGGGCCTAAAACTACAAGACTAACTAATGTTGTTTTTTTTTTTAAATCTTTAAACCATTGATATAACTAACTTCGTATTCTATACAGGCCTACATATATGAACCCAATAAAAAAAATAGCGGGAAGAAGGTATCTGTTTTATTTTTCCTCCACTGCCTGATTTCTTTTGAGTCAACCACAATTTTTTTTTCCCTAATGCTTTAGATTGTATGCAGCGACGTTAACATCTACACCTGCCTCCCTGTGTGGATTGGGGATTCACAAAACAAGAGTCAACACTATACCATCAAGGACGCCTTTGGTTTGTTCGTTTGCCTGTTTTGTTAGAGTTTCTTCCAGGCATACTTTTACCAGTGTCCGCACCCCCCTCCCTCGTAAATATCAAGTTTCCCCCTCCCCCAGGAGAAGAGAAAGTCTGGAAGAAACACTGGTTATGTTTATTAAGATAGTTTAGATTATTTTTTAATGTATAAAAATGTTCCCTTGAGATGGGGAAGGAGACACTAATACTGCTCATAGTTACTGCATAGTGACACTCTGCCTGGTGACGCTGCTAATCGGTGATACATTTACAACATACTACATTCATTACATTTTGTTTAATTCACTGTTTTAAAAAAAGAGCACACGCAAAACGAGTTTAATACAATCAACAACAAAAGCTAATTGAATTTGTATAATACTTGGATATTTTACTCGAACAACTTGATACTTTTAAAATCTACTTGAATATTTAAATACATTTATATTTTTTAAATATTTTAATACTTTTAGTATTTACTTTTAATAATTACCAATATATTTTAATATCTTAGCTGTCCATTTTGCCCACCAAGGCTCGCCATCAGTATCCAAATCTTTTGCGAATGTCAATACCAGAACTGGCATCGGTGCTGTGCTTATAAATCAAATCATGCAAGCAGTGAAGCAAGCAGGGAAGAAAGATTTACTAGTAGATAATTTATAGATTTAACACAACTTCTTACGGACAGTATTTGAAATGTAAAGTATGTGTCATAAATGTGTTTGATTTGATATAAGTCTACATTCTTTTTACAATTAGATCGTCATTTGCAAGATGAAAGTTTGTGTCTTACTTAGAGGGCGTTAAACAGTATTTAAATGTTATTTAAGGCTTACGGTTTTGGTGTGCAATAATTTATGCCATTAATAGTTTGTACACAAATTATATATCTAAGTGTTTTAAGATAATTTTTTCATTTATTATGCAACCAATTTATTTATAAAAGCTTTTTTATGATCAGTATGAGTTTGGATCACTACGTAGACAAATTAATAATGGTTGTAAATTATTTTATTAACAACATGATACAGTCTTTGTGTATGAATGTGGGATGGAATTATAAATACATTTAACTTGTCTTAAATGAAATTTTGAAAGTTTTATTTGCCGTTCCAGTTAAAGCTATTTCCGTGTAAAACTTACTTTATATTTGTTTTAAATACAAAATTCCGGATAGACTTGGAGGTTTTGTTTTGTCTAAAAGAATAATATTGCAGATGAAGGTTTGTATGGTGTGTGTTGTGTTACAGTAATACAAAACAGCTTCAGATTGATCTTAAATGTGGACTTTTAGATAAGCTTTTGTTTGTATGGCTATTTTGGCAAGGTAGGAATCTACAAATAACTGAATCAATATTTAATGGGCTATATATAATGTTTAATTGCAAAAATATTATAAATAATGAGCCTCAATTTATTTTTTAAATCTACTCCAAAATCAATAAATTGTTTTTAGCCTTTTATTGTTTGTTACTTACTTCTTACCATATTTTCATCCATCAAACTTATTTTCTAAATGTTCATAAAAACGTATTTTGTTACTTGAATTCTCTGCTCACAGCACCGTTTAGATGTGTGGTTTATACACAAATAAATGCTCTTTATTTAAGTAAGAATGACAAGGGATATTGGTAAATCTTACATTTTAATTTCTTTTCCCAATAAAAAATACATTAAATGTCCAAAAAATGCTTAAGGTTATATTCAACACTTAATAATTTATATTATCCGAATTTATATTTTTCAGCTTATGATGTAATATAAACATAAAAGTATAAAGTAAAGTAATGCTTATTTAATTTTTTTTTTTTTTTTGAAAAAGTAAAACAGCTTTATAATAGTTAAGATGAAAAAAGTAAAAAAATAATATACAAAAATGTGTGTTGTTAGAAAGTAGCATGAGCTATAGTAAGGCAGTCTTTTTGTAATGCACTCCATAATAGCTAATTATATAAAAATGTGTTACATAGAAGTAATTTACCCTGAAATGAACTGGTTAATTAATTTCCCATTATTTATTTGTGAAATTTTGAAAGACATTAATATTGACAAAAGTTGGAATGTGTAGTATCTAAGTTATCTATTATTTGAAAACTCCAAAATCCATGAAAACTTTTTCACATTTAAAATATTGATTTTAAAATGTTACATTATTTACAATTTAAAAAAAATATAAGTAAGGTTTTCATTTTATAAAGAACAAAAAATGTTTTTACATTTTATTAAAGTTCTAAATTTGAAATAATCAATTTTTATGACTAAGTTCAACATTTGTTTCTCTATATTGTTTTTAAAAACAATAACTATTGTCTTTTTACATAATGCTAAGAACAATTAAAGTAACTTTTTAAAACATTTTAACTAGGTTAAAATTCTTAAAACAATATTCTTTCAGTTTATAAAATACTTTTAAAACCTATAAAATAATTTTCAATAAATTTGTCTTTAAAATATGATTGTAGTCTTTATAAAAATGCTTTTAAATCTACAGATTGCTTCAAATCTTTAAAAACAAATGTTTGAATCTGTAACTAGCTTTATAATCTCAAAAACAATCCTATGTTTTAATCTTTAAATTAAATTTTCATTCCTTAAAAAAATCCTACTTTTTTTGTCTATAACCTAAATTTTGATTTCTTAAAAACATTTCTACCTTTTTACCTATAAACTAGATCTTTGAATATATTCTTAAAACAATTCAACATTTTAGACTTTAAGTTAGGCTCAGCATAGCGCCACAGCTTCAAGATTCATTAACAAGAACACTGTCAGGGCCTTCAGCCACTGAGCCATAGGTTGTCTCGCTTGTAAGTCTGCGGTAGGTCTCGTTTTTCCTCGACCTCCTCTTCTTGACCGCGACAAAGATGAGAGTAGAGACGAGGACACAGGCGAGAGTCACACCCACAGAGATACCTGAAACAGTAGGTTAGTACATGGTATTTATAGTCACAGGCGGAGCTGTTGGGGTGGGAGAGGGGGGTAACAGTTCCAGTTCCCACATATTCTTAAAGTCGATTCCGGTCATTGGGTCACCATTAATTTTTTTAGTTGTTAGGTCAAGGTTATTCATATTCCCAAGACATACTCAAGGCTTAGTTTGTTTTTTTTTTTTTTGTTGTATGGAGTGTTTATAGATTCATCATTTTTTTTGTTAGTGCCCAAGAGAAATGGGGCAGATGAAGTAGAGTTCATCTGTTTTAATGACCTCAACATAGGGAGGGATAATGTGCTCAGTACTATGCTCAGCAGCCCTAGTTTCCCTAATGTCAATCAGATACCTATCAGAGCTGGGTGGTCTCAGGACGTATTACAGATCAAGGCTGGGATTCTAACTCGAGAGTTTCGGGTTAGAAGTTATAGGTTCTACCTTTCAACCACAATTTCCCCTAACGCATTTATTTTTTAAGACACTGTATTCTTACCAGCCACCGTGCCATTGGCCATACCACCCCTGCCACTTTTGTCACTGCTCTTTGAAGGAGAGTCAGTTACAGCATACTGTAAACTCTGCTGTAGTTTGACTGCCTTTTCATTCTTTATCCAAGTCTGATGGAACATGAAACAAAATAAATGGTTTAGTACATAGTCAATTGTACAATTTATAAATTAAAAGGTTTCAGAAATTATGTTTAATTAGGCTCATTTATTGATAAAAATACAGCAAGTTTAATTTTACTGTCAATATTGGGTAATTGAAACATTAACCTTTAAAAGTTAAAGATTGTTTATTGCAAAAGAGTTGAAGTGCTTGTATGCTTAAAACTGCATGCACTCACAGGATATTGTAATACAGATATCAAAATTACCTAATCATCAACAGTAACTCATGTTTTAAAATTATCTAACTTATCAACATCTCCTGTATTTCAACATTAACTGAGTTAACATTTGAAGAATACAAAAATTTCTATGTTCCACTTATTTCAAATACCATGCCTTAGCCGTGTTTCAATTTTTCCAGTGATGTAATTTTACCTGTGACCTCATTTTTCTAGTGTTCTAATTTTACCTGTGTTCTAATTTTACCTGCATTTTTCTAGTGTTCTAACTTTACCTGTGATCTAATTTTACCTGCGTTCTAATTTTACTTGAGATCTAATTTTGCTTGAGATTTAATTTTACCTGTGAGCTAATTTTATCTGCGTTCCATTTTACCTGTGATCTAATTTTACCTGTGATCTAATTTTACCCATGATCTAATTTTACCTGTGATCTAATTTTACCTGTGATCTAATTTTACCTGTGATCTAATTTTACCTGTGAGCTAATTTTACCTGTGATCTAATTTAACCATGATCTAATTTTACCTGTGATCTAATTTAACCTTGATCTAATTTTACCTGTGATCTAATTTTACCTGGGATATAATTTTTACCTGGGATATAATTTTTACCTGGGATATAATTTTACCTGTGATCTAATTTAACCTGTGATCTAATTTTACCTGTTATTATATGAACTTAAAGATTACCTGAGTCTCCATGTTAAACATGACCAAATTGTTTGGATCCTCCAGAGGTATCAAAGGCTTGGACATGAATGGGGGTCTTTTAACGGGAGGCAACGCTGGTCCAGAGAGGGCGCCGGTCAACACACAATAATTGATGGCACAGCCCTGGAATATACAAGGGAAAACAATTTAATTTTACAATCTGCAGTAAAGAAATATGAAATTTTGCATAGACATTAAATGAGTTTGTTTTACAAATACTAGCACTATGACAAATGTAAGTAGGGATGTTGCAAGAAGGAGTGTAGCCCCTTATGCGATAGGTTTACCAACTCTGGTTTGTTTTTGGCAGCTCCTGCAACACAGCTGATGCCACGCTGTACAGGTAACATCACCTGTGTGGCCAGAGAGTGCCTGATATATGGGCAATATCTGGCTCCTCTCAAGTTACTGTCCAGGCTTTTCGTCTTGATTCCAGAAGGTGCAATGGTCCAAATGTCTTTCAGACTAGAGCCATTTAGTTTGATTTGATAGGTGGTTATATTTACCAAATCAATGGTAGTCATATATTTTCCATATCACCTGTAGCCATGTTCTATATTTACCACATCAATGGTAGCCATATATTTACCAGAGTAATGGTAGCCATATATTTTCCATATCAACTGTAGCCATGTTCTATATTTACCACATCAATGGTAGCCATATATTTTCCATATCAACTGTAGCCATGTTCTATATTTACCACATCAATGGTAGCCATATATTTTCCATATCAACTGTAGCCATGTTCTATATTTACCACATCAATGGTAGCCATATATTTTCCATATCAACTGTAGCCATGTTCTATATTTACCACATCAATGGTAGCCATATATTTTCCATATCAACTGTAGCCATGTTCTATATTTACCACATCAATGGTAGCCATATATTTTCCATATCAACTGTAGCCATGTTCTATATTTACCACATCAATGGTAGCCATATATTTTCCATATCAACTGTAGCCATGTTCTATATTTACCACATCAATGGTAGCCATATATTTTCCATATCAACTGTAGCCATGTTCTATATCAGGGGTCTCCAAATTACGGCCCGCGGGCCAGCCGGCCCGCGAGGTCATTTGATCCGGCCCGCAGCGATCTTTTTGTCCACTGAATAAATGTTTGTTAGAGGTGACTGAGGAACTTTGCACAGAAAATTCAAAATAATTTTAAAATGTAGCTAAGGGTGCAAATACCATTGCCCGCCGTGTTGCAGACATTGGTGAAAACATCGTGAGTCAAATAGCGAAAAACGCAAGCAAGCTTCGCCATTTTTCATTTGCAATGGATGAATCGCTTGACAGTTGTTCCACCTCAACTTCTTGTGTTCATTAGAGGTGTGGATGAAGACATGAACATAACACAAGAGCTGGCTTCCCTACATAAAATGTATGACACTGTTACCGGAGAGAATATCTTACCATAGATAGTTCGGAAACAAACACAAAATCACAAGATTGATCATATTTCACATCAGTAAGATGGCTCATTTTGCGAGAAAGTTCTGAGAAGAATATTTAAATTAAGAAAAAAATAGGTGACTTCCTGGAAATAAAGGCAAGCCACAGCCATTATTGTCTGATGAAGAGTGAACAACTTGACACACTTTCAGCAGTGCAAGGTCTTTACGGCTGAAACAACCACTGAGTTCCCCACGTCATTTACATACGAGATCATTAAAGACCTCCAGCTGCAGTTTCAATAGCGGTTCTCTTACTTGGATTCAAAGGCAGAAGAAGTGTGACTGTTTCAAAACCCATTTGAAACAAATGTGGCCAGTTGCAAAGATGAACTGCAGCGGGAGGTCATTGAATTGCAAGAAAATGACTTCCTTAGAGACACGTTCAAAGAAGAGCGGATGGGTTTTCATATGTTTTTGCACAAGGAAGACATTCCTAATGTTAAAACTTTTGCATCAAAGTACCTTTTAAATTTTGGAACAACATACCTGTGAGAACAAACATTTTCAAGAATGAAATAAAATACGTTAAGAATAATTTGAGAGCAGAATAAACTAGGACCTCGAGTGTGTTGTCGACCCCCGAAAGTGTTTCTTCCAGACTTTTTACTACGGGGGGGGGGGGGGGGGGGAGAAGAGAGAGAGAGATGGGGGTGGACACTTGAAATGTGTATAAATTGCTATATAAATTATATTTGTTGGGGGTGGGGACGCCACCACCCCAAAGAGATGACTTAAAGAAACTCTGGCCCCCGAACTGATATTTGATAGTTAATGCGGCCCTCGGGCTGAAAAGTTTGGAGACCCCTGTTCTATATTTACCACATCAATGGTAGTCATATATTTTCCATATCAACTGTAGCCATGTTCTATATTTACCACATCAATGGTAGCCATATATTTACCAGAGTAATGGTAGCCATATATTTTCCATATCAACTGTAGCCATGTTCTATATTTACCACATCAATGGTAGCCATATATTTACCAGAGTAATGGTAGCCATATATTGTCCATATCAACTGTAGCCATGTTCTATATTTAGCACATCAATGGAGCCATATATTTACCACATCAACTGTATACCCACCACATCAATGGTAGCCAGATGCTGACTGTACCCTTCAGGACATCGCACTGGGTATGAGCTAGCCACATCGTTAGCTTGCATGAAGGCCTGTAGTGAGTTGGTGGGTGGGGCTGCTGCCTTCAGCTTGGATCCTACTGGGCGTACTCCAGGCAAGGACAATGGGTTGCCTAGAAATGGCAGAAATTTTAAAATGTTATTGGATCTGTACATTAAAATTTACTTTGAGATTAATTATCATATAGAATTCAGTAACATAGACCTGGGGATGGATTGGACACACGTTAGAAGAGAAAAAGAAAACATCACAAAACATGCTATGGACTGGAATCCCCAGGGAAAAAGGGAAGTGGGCCGGCCAAAGAAAACATGGAAAAGAACGGTTGAGGAAGAGGCTAAAACAGCTGGGCTCACATGGGCACAGATAAAGGGAGCAGCCCAAAACCGAGTCCGCTGGAGATGTGTAGATGCAGCCCTTTGCTCCCCAGGGGCCATAAAGGAATGATGATGATGATGATAATGAACATATTTATACCATCAATCAACATTTCTGTTTAATAAATATGTTGATTGTGCTGGTCGAAACAAAAAAATTTGCTTGTAAAAAAAAATAATCTTAAATACAATATTTCAAATCAAAATCATTTAGTTTTGTTAAATATGTTTTTATAAAGTTTTTGTTTAATTAATTATTTTCCAAATTATTTACCGATTTGTCCACACTGTCATCATTTTTACTGATTCATGTATATAGGATACATTGATGTCTTAGAAAATATCCGCATAATGATTTAACCATGCATACTGCAGCAATGATTCAATACTAACAACAGCTCACCACAAACTTTTCTTTACTTACCAACTTCACAACTGAAAAAGCCACCAAAGGGTACGGACATAGGGGATGCAAGTTCGAAATCCTCACTGATGCAAATGCTCATGTCAAAAAACATATGCCTGGCATAGAATCTAGGAGGACATCCCTAGTTTCACAAGAAGAAACCGTTATGAGATTACTAAATTCTTATAATTTCAAAATACATTAGACAAGAAAGTATAGGTTGATTTTTTTTCAAACATTAGTGCAGTCAAACAGAGAATTTAAACAGTGCATAGCCATCTAGCAAAAAGATTTTTACTAAACTGTAAAATGTTTTTTGACATACATTTATGGTGATTACAAAAGTGTTTTGTTATAAAAATATTTTTTAAGAAACTTACAGAAAGTTTTTAATTAGGTTTATGTGCAATTGATTTGGGTACTTACAAAAAAAAACTGGGTATTTACAAAATGTGTTTTGTGGTTAAAAAAATAATTTAAATACTCCATATTAAGTGTTGAGATACAGGGCTGGTAAGTAGGTCACCAACCAGCTCTACAGCTCAATAAAATTTGCATGAGCCGTAGAACTGGTTGGTGACCTACTTACTAGCCCTATATCAGCTTTACAAAATAAGTTTAGCTACTTACAAAAGTGTTGGTGACCTACTTACTAGCCCTATACCAGCTTTACAAAATAAGTTTTGCTACTTCCAAAAGTGTTGGTGACCTACTTACCAGCCCTATACCAGCTTTACAAAATAAGTTTTGCTACTTACAAAAGTGTTGGTGACCTACTTACTAGCCCTATACCAGCTTTATAAAGTAAGTTTTGCTACTTACAAAAGTGTTGGTGACCTACTTACCAGCCCTATACCAGCTTTACAAAATAAGTTTTGCTACTTACAAAAGTGTTGGTGACCTACTTACCAGCCCTATACCAGCTTTAAAAAATAAGTTTTGCTACTTACAAAAGAGTTGGTGACCTACTTACTAGCCCTATACCAGCTTTACAAAATAAGTTTTGCTACTTACAAATGTGTTGGTGACCAGATTTTCTTGAGTAGACGTGTAAAGTCCACCAAACAAATAGCCAGCAGCATCCGGGACATTACCATGAGTAGCTGCGCACCAGTATGTGCTGTAAAGAGCCTTGGCCTGAAACTCATCTGTGTGACAGCACTCAAAGAACAGCCAACAGCTGCAGGGTGGTTTATCAATTTTAAAAAAAAATATTTTAGACACTTTCATTAAATAAAAAAACACTAAGTTCTACAAATGCAATTACACCTGTTCAGGAACATTAATCGGGGTAAGAGTGGTCTAGCAGTAGAGAGCTGGACTGCTAACCCGGAAAGTCTCGAGTTCAAATCCGGGTTCAAGTCAGTAGACAGTCCCTGAGTCCACCCAACTCTGATGAGTGCCCAACTCATGTTAGGGAAAGTAAAGGCGGCTGGGCGTAGTGCTGACCACACTATCTCTTCATATGCCGAGGTCACAGAAACAAGTGAACTCTACTTCACTTGCCCTACAGACCGTCAGTTTTGAAAGGGAACTTTACTTTTTTTTAGGAACATTAATATAATAAACTTTTGAATATATTGTATAATAGTAGATCAAGCCTGTTTCTAAACTGAGATAAAAACTACACAAGTGTATTCTGATGGTAACAAATGTAAAGAAATTATTGATGTATGTATGTATATGTTTAGGCGAGATTTTAACATTTTTTCATATTGGTTAGTATTAATAGCAACACATAATTTCTTTTACCATTACATAAATCTTCACCATAAACCCCAGCTTTTAGTATGATACAGCATTTAGGCCAAGTAGTAGAAACTACTATGACTAATGTTGCTTTACCTGTGGCAAGACCTCCTGCTCTCAGATGAACCAGTTTTAACTGCGGAATGCAGCCTAACAGCTGTGTAGGAGGCGGGACATGAGTAGCCGCTGGTCTTAGGGTTAACTTGATTGAGGCCATCACAAGGGTTTTTGGTCAAAAACTGCCCAGACACCTCACAAGTCTGAAACACACCTGTCAATAACACATACACACAATTTTTTTATTTATGTCTAACAAAGAAATTAAAAGAAAAAAAATTCAATTGAAAAAAATCATCCACTTTTAAGAAACTGAATATGAGGTTTTAGAGCCAATATTAGTTGAGGTAGAGAAAGAATGAATGTTGTAGATCTAGTATTAACTGTATGCATTAAACTATAAAACATAAGCATAGGCCCCTATCTATTATTATTTTCTAGATATGAGTCTATAGGCCTAATTACTTTTATTAGGCCTATCTCTATAGTCTATCCATAGTTCTATACTCTATCTATAGGCCTAGATCTATTTACTTTAGTTAGTATATATTATAATATATTTAATTTATTAATAGATCTAGTATATAGATCTAGTAGGCCTATATAGAATCTAGATTCTATCATAGAATATCAATATAGATTCTAGCTAGATCTAGATCTTTTTTAAAATTTTAAAATAGATAGTCTAGTATTAGGCCTATACTCAATATACTGTATTAGATACTAGAATAGATACTAGATCTAGATCTAGATAGGATTGTTTTATTTTATTTAATAATTAAATAATATATTATTACTTATTAGTTTATTAAATTATTAGGCCTAGGCCTATCTTAATCTATATTATTATTATTTAATATTTAGTATTATTTAATATTTAGATCTAGATCTAGTATTTAATAATATTATTAAAACTGTTCATAGGAGCTGCTCTGATTTGGATCAAAATTAACAATTAAATCCTGAAATTTTAATTACCTCCAAAAGTTACGTTAGTTGGGCGAGCATTACAGGAGCCGTCATCAAAGTTCGCTGAGAAACTGAAGTTTGGTGCTCCGAGTTTTGTACAACCCCGGATTGTGTTCATCTCGTAGTACAGTTCGATCGATTCACGCACGATCTGGAAAGACAACCCAGTTAAAAGCTTTCCGACGACAGATTAGTTAGTAGCCTCCCTTGCAAGCGTTTAATTGTTGTTTTTTTCATTCAAAATTTGCATTGTTCGTTTTATTTTGCCACCGCTGTCGGCTTATTTTAATGATTCAAAATCAAAATTTGATTTGTTATTTTTTAAGCGGGATGTGCTACTACCTCATCAAATATCATTTGGCTAAGTTTAATCAGTTGACTTTTAACTGCCATTAATTAATCGCTAAATATTTACCTTTCTCTATCCCTAAAATTATGGATTTCAAACCCTGTCATCAATCACCAAGTCATTCTTCCCAAGGAACATTTCCCCTTTGGTCAACCAGGGTGTGAACGTCGGGGAGTGGGTGGGCAGGGGTTAGTTGCCAGGGTGGGGGGGGGGGGTCATTGTCCGTGAGGTTATAATATTTTACTTAGACCCCGTGTTTAGGGTTCGACTATTCAATCTCTATTACTCTAACCCTAACCTACACCCTTTGTTGGGAGGGGGGGAAGGTTACTAACTCTAACATTAACCCCATCCCCCCCCCCCCTCAAACTATTTATAATGCAAAAATGCAGCTAAAATGACATTTTAATTTGTTTTTACAACCCATTTTGTCGCCCCCTAAGCTCGGCGCCCGGGGACATATGTACCCCCTGCCCCCCCCCCCCCCCATCGCTACGCCTCAGAGGGTACGGCTAAGCCCATTGTGCCCACCTTCTCCAGCTCTGACACGGTTGTCAGCGGCAACTCCGGCAGCGTGTGCTGAGTGACCAGGAAGTACAGCGGGTCACCGGACCTGTCCATCGGCACCAGGTTCTTGTCCACGGCTTTGGTCCAGTCGTCCACGGCCATACCCTCGGCCTGGTACATGGGACCCCCCCAGGGTCTTGACCACGGAGTGGGTCATGCTCTTGTTGTACAGGTCGTTGATGGTTTGGTCGGATTTGTAGCTGGTGATTGGAAACTTAAAAAGGTTTTGATGTTGTATAAATTCTTGGCATTACGCCTAGGTGTAGTACATAACAAGTGTTTCTTCCAGACTTATTTCTCATTGGGCGGGGGGGGGGGGGGCTTGAAATTTTCGGGGTTGTGGGGGGGGGGGGGCAAACTAAAATTTATGGTGGGTGGGGTGGAAATGCTAAAAGTATTTATTTTCTATAGAAATTCCATTTCGTACGGGGGGGGGGAGGTAGACTTTCTTCGGGGGTGCATGGAAGAAACTCTGTACATAACTGTGGTGTTTTGTTTTTTTTTTTTTTTTTTTTTTAATTCTGACACTATCACTGTTATGGTAAGGGTTAGCATTATGGTTAAGGGTAAGATTAGGGAAGAGGTTAGGTATGGGCTAAGATACGGCGTGGTCGAGTAGTAGAGCGTTCAATTGCTAACATGAAAGTCTCCAGTTCGTATCAAGGGTATTTTGGAAAAACTGTTTGCATCCAAACGATGGTATGGATTCTTTCGAAACTCAGGTTAGAGGAGAAAGACGAACAACATCATTAGAAATTAATAATTCGCAATAATGTTTTTAACAGTCTGTTTTGCCTGCAAGAGCAGCTGAAAATATTTGATTAAATCTTTTAACAAACGAAGCAAAGAAACGAAGCAGAAATAAAACGGGAGCGTACAGTTTTTCTTTTCTAAGGAGGGTGGGGGGGGGGGGGGGGGACATTTCAGGGGGCGAACTTAAATTTGCGGGAAGGGAGGGGGTAATGTACCTATTTTTGAAAATTATAATATAAAATATATTTGTTGTATTTCGTATGTAAAGGTGTTGTGGGGTGGACGTGGTTCTAGGGACAGTGCCCCATCCTTTCCACTCACCCCCCCCCCCCCTTTTTTTAGAGATGCGTGGAAAAAAATTCGATTGTTAGTTTAGGGTTAATGGTGTTTGTACGTGTCTAAAGACTGACCTAATGGAGGAGCCAAAATGGAAGATGTTAAGAAACGAGGCTGAGGCCGAGGCTAAAATATCAGATTTTTTCTCCGAGTGTGCGCTGATGAAATCAGATTTGACGAAGTCGTCCTTGACAAGTCCGGCACCAGCGGTCACACTGGTCAGCACGTGGGTGCCTGGAAGGTGAGTCAAACATGAGGATAATTGAGTCTTAAGACGCTTAAACTATTCTTCAATATGTAAAAATCATTTTAAAGAACGTGAGTAAACACCGTTAGGATAAATGTTGAGCATTTTGAAACAATTAATCACTTTCTGAAGTAAAAATAATATTGTTATTTTATTAATAATTTTACAGTTACCAAATAATCTGATCAACAACTGTCCCTAGTATTTGGCCTACTCACCAAAATATCTGACCAACAACTGCTTCCCCCCCCCCCTATCTGGCTTACCAAAATATCTGACCAACAACTGGCCCAAATTTCTGGCATATCAAATTCTCTGACCAACATCTACCCCAAATATCTGGCATACCAAATTCTCTGACCAACAACTGCCCCAAATATCTGCCTTACCAAAATCTCTGACCAACAACTGCCCTTCCTATCTCTCTGGCTTACCAAAATCTCTAACCAACAACTGCCCCAAATACCTGGCTTACCAAAATCTCTACCAACAACTGCCCCAAATATCTGGCTTACCAAAATCTCTGACCAACAACTGCCCCAAATATCTGGCTTACCAAAATCTCTGACCAACAACTGCCCCAAATATCTGGCTTACCAAAATCTCTGACCAACAACTGCCCTAAATATCTGGCTTACCAAAATCTCTGACCAACAACTGCCCCTCGTATCTGGCTTACCAAAATCTCTGACCAAAAACTGCCTTTCCTATCTGGCTGGCTTACCAAAATCTCTGACCAACAACTGCCCTTCCTATCTGGCTGGCTTACCAAAATCTCTGACCAACAACTGCCCCAAATATCTGGCTTACCAAAATCTCTGACCAACAACTGCCCCAAATATCTGGCTTACCAAAATCTCTGACCAACAACTGCCCTTCCTATCTGGCTGGCTTACCAAAATCTCTGACCAACAACTGCCCCAAATATCTGGCTTACCAAAATCTCTGACCAACAACTGCCCCAAATATCTGGCTTACCAAAATCTCTGACCAACAACTGCCCCAAATATCTGCCTTACCAAAATCTCTGACCAACAACTGCCCCAAATATCTGCCTTACCAAAATCTCTGACCAACAACTGCCCCTCGTATCTGGCTTACCAAAATCTCTGACCAACAACTGCCCCAAATATCTGGCTTACCAAAATCTCTGACCAACAACTGCCCCTCGTATCTGGCCTGTTCTGTCTGGTTCAACTCAATCCGTGCTGCAATACTCAGCAGACGACTTCTGAACTGTGGGCTGAGTACTGGGTCGGGCTGAAGCTTTGCCTCGTATCTTTAAAACAAAAATCACATTGTTGACGTTTGTATAACACTGGCATAGCTACACCGATGTCCCTTCACCATGTATCATTAACGGTTAATTATGTGGATATGTCAGGTAAGTGATTAGTCTAATTAAAGCTATTGGTTTTTTTTTAACTTGAGACACGTGAAAAAAAAATTATGCCAGCTTCGTACCGTAATTTTACTGAAGTAAAAAGAAAACTTGATAAGAAATGGCTTTTGCAACCTTTATGTGCCCAGTACTGAGCAGGTGGCCATATATGTTTAAACTCAGTTGAACAATACATTAATCTAACTACCTCTAGTTCTAATACAACTTCAAGGAACCTTCATCGTGAGCGTATCTTACACAGTAAACTCACACGAAAATTTGCTTTATATAACGATGCCATTATATATTTACATCTAAAAGAATATTTAAAGTGTGTTGACCTCCCTAAAATCCCACCCTCTCTGACAATAGATATCGCATCTGGCGCAATCCTCAATTCCCCTTCCCCCCCCCCCCCCCCACCTGTACGATGGTGGCCTAACCCCCCCCCCCCTTAGCCAAACTCACGCACTAACCTTAAATATCACAACTGGACCCGTATGATGACGCCCCATCAACACCCTCCACCAATCACCCCACCACACACACACACACACAAACACACTCACTTACCATAGATATCGCATCTATAGCCACCATGCAATGACACCCCATCACAACCATCCCCAGCACCACCAAACACACTAACCTTAGATATCGCATATAGATCCATACGGTGACGCCTTCTCACCCTCACCCCCCCACCCCGCACACACTAACCTTAGATATTGTACATGGGCCCGTAGGGTGTCGGCCTATCACCCCCCACCCCACCCCCACTGACCTTAGATATCTCATCTGTACCCGTATGTTGACGCCCTCACCCCTCCCCCCACCCCCACTGACCTTAGATATCTCATCTGGACCCGTAGGTTGACGCCCTCTACCCTCCCACCCCCACTGACCTTAGATATCTCATCTGGACCCGTAGGTTGACGCCCTCTACCCTCCCACCCCCACTGACCTTAGATATCTCATCTGTACCCGTATGTTGACGCCCTCACCCCTCCCACCCCCACTGACCTTAGATATCTCATCTGGACCCGTAGGTTGACGCCCTCTACCCTCCCACCCCCACTGACCTTAGATATCTCATCTGGACCCGTAGGTTGACGCCCTCTACCCTCCCACCCCTCCCACCCCCACTGACCTTAGATATCTCATCTGGACCCGTAGGTTGACGCCCTCTACCCTCCCACCCCCACTGACCTTAGATATCTCATCTGGACCCGTAGGTTGACGCCCTCACCCCTCCCACCCCCACTGACCTTAGATATCTCATCTGGACCCGTAGGTTGACGCCCTCTACCCTCCCACCCCCACTGACCTTAGATATCTCATCTGGACCCGTAGGTTGACGCCCTCACCCCTCCCACCCCCACTGACCTTAGATATCTCATCTGGACCCGTAGGTTGACGCCCTCACCCCTCCCACCCCCACTGACCTTAGATATCTCATCTGGACCCGTAGGTTGACGCCCTCTACCCTCCCACCCCCACTGACCTTAGATATCTCATCTGGACCCGTAGGTTGACGCCCTCTACCCTCCCACCCCCACTGACCTTAGATATCTCATCTGGACCCGTAGGTTGACGCCCTCTACCCTCCCACCCCCACTGACCTTAGATATCTCATCTGGACCCGTAGGTTGACGCCCTCTACCCTCCCACCCCCACTGACCTTAGATATCTCATCTGGACCCGTAGGTTGACGCCCTCTACCCTCCCACCCCCACTGACCTTAGATATCTCATCTGGACCCGTAGGTTGACGCCCTCTACCCTCCCACCCCCACTGACCTTAGATATCTCATCTGGACCCGTAGGTTGACGCCCTCTACCCTCCCACCCCCACTGACCTTAGATATCTCATCTGGACCCGTAGGTTGACGCCCTCTACCCTCCCACCCCCACTGACCTTAGATATCTCATCTGGACTCGTACAGTGACGCCCTCCCACCCTTAACCCCACCCCCATCCTCACCCCTCCCACCCCCACTGACCTTAGATATCTCATCTGGACCCGTAGGTTGACGCCCTCACCCCTCCCACCCCCACTGACCTTAGATATCTCATCTGGACCCGTAGGTTGACGCCCTCTACCCTCCCACCCCCACTGACCTTAGATATCTCATCTGGACCCGTAGGTTGACGCCCTCACCCCTCCCACCCCCCACTGACCTTAGATATCTCATCTGGACCCGTAGGTTGACGCCCTCTACCCTCCCACCCCCACTGACCTTAGATATCTCATCTGGACCCGTAGGTTGACGCTCTCACCCCTCCCACCCCCACTGACCTTAGATATCTCATCTGGACCCGTAGGTTGACGCCCTCACCCCTCCCACCCCCACTGACCTTAGATATCTCATCTGGACCCGTAGGTTGACGCCCTCTACCCTCCCACCCCCACTGACCTTAGATATCTCATCTGGACCCGTAGGTTGACGCCCTCACCCCTCCCACCCCCACTGACCTTAGATATCTCATCTGGACCCGTAGGTTGACGCCCTCACCCCTCCCACCCCCACTGACCTTAGATATCTCATCTGGACCCGTAGGTTGACGCCCTCTACCCTCCCACCCCCACTGACCTTAGATATCTCATCTGGACCCGTAGGTTGACGCCCTCTACCCTCCCACCCCCACTGACCTTAGATATCTCATCTGGACTCGTACAGTGACGCCCTCCCACCCTTAACCCCACCCCCATCCTCACCCCTCCCACCCCCACTGACCTTAGATATCTCATCTGGACCCGTACAGTGACGGCTTTATCCTCGATCTGCTTCGACTTGAGCTCCGAGTGCTCGTAGGAAAACTTTCCGCTGACGGAGCCCTTGGTCAAGCTGAGGCCGGCCTCCATGTTGACCGAGTTTGAGGTCAAGGACGACACGTTGTGCCACTGGTCAATCATCTCAGCGAACCTCTCCACGCTGCTCGACTGGTGAGGACAGAGAACGTAACAGTGGGGTTTTAGTGCTAGAGGCGGATAGGTGTCTCACTGCATCGGGGGAGGGGGTGGGGGGGGGGGGCAGTTCAAATTTTCCAGATGGGGGGGGGGGAGCGGACATTGGTAAAAGTATATATTTTTTATATAAATTGTATTTCTTTCGGGGGGAGGAGCGGTAGATTTTCTGAGGCGTAGCCATACAACGTCGAATAAAAGCATGTGTCTAATGTCGAAGTGTTCAGTCAGAATGATGTCGTAGGGTTAATGTCTACAACTCAATTTGTCGGCGCAGATGTAAAAAAAAATTCCTTTAAATTATCAACAGTAGCCGGGTTGAATAAGTTGAATTTGAGGTAATAACTCACATGAAAAAATACCTCCAGCCTTTAATTGTGTTATAAACTTTTAAATTAGCATTACAAATAAGAATTCTATCTAGCATCAGGGATATGGTTTTTAAATGGGATAAGATAATATAGTAACGGACAGGGTCATGTAAAGAATCAGGGTTAGGATCCTACGGAAGATCATGTTAAGTATTGGAAATGGGATCACTTATAAGATTAGGGTTAGTATTAGGAATATAATCCATCATGTTCATGGAAAGATTTAGGGATGTGTTCAGTGATAGAATAAGGGGTAAATGTTTTTGTTATAGTCAATAATAAGATCATGTTTAGTACTCCTGCGTAAGCCTGTAATATGGTAGTGATAAGAATAGCATTGAATACCTAACGACCTATTTATAAGTTGCGAATACTTTATTTAATGCAAGTTAGCGCCATCGAGAAGACTGTACTTGTTTCATAAGAAGCAAACACAGCTTTCTATTTTTAAAACTAAGTGAGGGGAATTTTCTGATTAATGCGGAAGATTTTCATGACGTCAAGTGCAAGAGCGATGTTTTGTTATTTTTGACCATATTTGGCGTGATTTCATGCACTTGTTGAAATTGCATATATCACGCAATGACGCGAAAGGCAAAATCGTTTTTAACCAATTGATCTTAGCCCTATACACTCTTTTTAATTAACGTTTCACAGCAGGAAGCTTAATTAATTAGCGACGTAATCAAAAGAAAAATACTCTTTCAAACCTAGACGTCCATGATTCAGATGAAATTGAGTTCGCCTGTATCTATGACTTGTGGCATTATAGTGCCGACTTTATGTCCCCTAATGTAAGTCATGTACCCATCATAGTTGGGTGGACTGAGAGACGTCTTTCGGACTCAAACCCCAATTCTATACTCTACTATCTGACACAGTGGCGTAGGCAGGGGGGGTTAGGGGGTCATACCCCCCCCCATAGACCCCTCGGTATATAGAAAAAGTATGAGGGGGGGTGCAAATCGAAAGTTTGAGGTGGGGGGGTGCAAATCGAAAGTTTGAGGGGGATGGGTGCAAATCGAAAATTTGAGGGGGGGGGGGGGTGTAAATCGAAAGTTTGAGGGGGGGGGGGGTGCAAATCGAAAGTTTGTCCCCGGGTAAAAATTGGACCCCCCCCCCCCCCTTGAGACGATCCTGGCTACGCCACTGATCTGACCACTCCCTTTTATGTTTAATTACGAAGATCACTCACACTTAGGATGAAGTGGAATTAAATGTCGTCATTCAGTAAGACAGAACAGGAAGATTAATTAATTAACGGTGTCGTGATTTTATTAAAATATCTGTCTAATCCCTTTTCATTAAATATACCGTTTATATACAAACTTTAACTGGCAGAATTGACAGAATATCAAAAATTAATTGAAAAGAGAAAACATTAAGAGAAAACAAAAATTGATTCCAAAACTTAATTAGCAGAAAAAAAAAGACGAAAACAGAAAAAATTGTACAAACCTTAATTAGCAGAACAAAGACAAAAACAAAAATTGATTACAAACCTTAATTAGCAGAACAAGGACAACAACAAAAATTAATTACAAACCTTAATTGGCAGAAAAAAAAACACAAAAATTAATTACAAACCTTAATGGGCAGAACAAGGACAAAAACAAAAATTGATTACATACCTTAATTAATTAGCAGAGCAAGGAAAAAAAATATTACAAACCTTAATTGGCAGTACAAAGACACACAAAAATTGATTACAAACCTTAATTAGCAGAACAAAGACAAAAAAAAATAATAACAAACCTTAATTGGCACGGTGAAGATGTTATCAGGGATGAGAAAATTCCCGTCGTCCGTGACCCTGCATTGAGTAAAGTTGTAGCTGACCACCATCCCCTGCTCCAAGTTCCTCAGGTTGTCCCACCCCAGGCCGGGCAGCACCTGGTAGAGATGTTCACAGAATGTGTAACTTTAATACATCAAGCACCTGAGAGAGATGTTCACAGAATGTGTAACTTTAATACATCAAGCACCTGAGAGAGATGTTCACAGAATGTGTAACTTTAATACATCAAGCACCTGAGAGAGATGTTCACAGAACGTGTAACTTTAATACATCAAGCACCTGAGAAAGATGTTCACAGAACGTGTAACTTTAATACATCAAGCATCTGAGAGAGATGTTCACAGAATGTGTAACTTTAATACATCAAGCATCTGAGAGAGATGTTCACAGAATGTGTAACTTTAATACATCAAGCACCTGGTAGAGATGTTCACGGAATGTGTCTTTAATACATCAAGCACCTGATAGAGATGTTCACAGAATGTGTAACTTTAATACATCAAGCACCTGAGAGATGTTCACAGAATGTGTAACTTTAATACATCAAGCACCTGATAGAGATGTTCACAGAACGTGTAACTTTAATACATCAAGCACCTGAGAGAGATGTTCACAGAATGTGTAACTTTAATACATCAAGCACCTGAGAGAGATGTTCACAGAATGTGTAACTTTAATACATCAAGCACCTGATAGAGATGTTCACAGAATGTGTAACTTTAATACATCAAGCACCTGAGAGATGTTCACAGAATGTGTAACTTTAATACATCAAGCATCTGAGAGAGATGTTCACAAAATGTGTAACTTTAATACATCAAGCATCTGAGAGAGATGTTCACAGAATGTGTAACTTTAATACATCAAGCACCTGAGAGAGATGTTCACAGAATGTGTAACTTTAATACATCAAGCACCTGAGAGAAATGTTTTAAAAATGTGTAACTTTAATACATCAAGCACCTGAGAGAGATGTTCACAGAATGTGTAACTTTAATACATCAAGCACCTGAGAGAGATGTTCACAGAATGTGTAACTTTAATACATCAAGCACCTGAGAGAGATGTTCACAGAATGTGTAACTTTAATACATCAAGCACCTGAGAGAGATGTTCACAGAATGTGTAACTTTAATACATCAAGCACCTGAGAGAGATGTTCACAGAATGTGTAACTTTAATACATCAAGCACCTGAGAGAGATGTTCACAGAATGTGTAACTTTAATACATCAAGCACCTGAGAGAGATGTTCACAGAACGTGTAACTTTAATACATCAAGCACCTGAGAGAGATGTTCACAGAATGTGTAACTTTAATACATCAAGCACCTGAGAGAGATGTTCACAGAATGTGTAACTTTAATACATCAAGCACCTGATAGAGATGTTCACAGAATGTGTAACTTTAATACATCAAGCACCTGATAGAGATGTTCACAGAATGTGTAACTTTAATACATCAAGCACCTGAGAGAGATGTTCACAGAATGTGTAACTTTAATACATCAAGCATCTGAGAGAGATGTTCACAGAATGTGTAACTTTAATACATCAAGCATCTGAGAGAGATGTTCACAGAATGTGTAACTTTAATACATCAAGCACCTGAGAGAGATGTTCACAGAATGTGTAACTTTAATACATCAATCACCTGAGAGAGATGTTCACAGAATGTGTAACTTTAATACATCAAGCACCTGAGAGAGATGTTCACAGAACGTGTAACTTTAATACATCAAGCACCTGAGAGAGATGTTCACAGAATGTGTAACTTTAATACATCAAGCACCTGAGAGAGATGTTCACAGAATGTGTAACTTTAATACATCAAGCACCTGATAGAGATGTTCACAGAACGTGTAACTTTAATACATCAAGCACCTGATAGAGATGTTCACAGAATGTGTAACTTTAATACATCAAGCACCTGAGAGAGATGTTCACAGAATGTGTAACTTTAATACATCAAGCACCTGAGAGATGTTCACAGAATGTGTAACTTTAATACATCAAGCACCTGAGAGAGATGTTCACAGAATGTGTAACTTTAATACATCAAGCACCTGAGAGAGATGTTCACAGAATGTGTAACTTTAATACATCAAGCACCTGAGAGAGATGTTCACAGAATGTGTAACTTTAATACATCAAGCACCTGAGAGAGATGTTCACAGAATGTGTAACTTTAATACATCAAGCACCTGAGAGAGATGTTCACAGAATGTGTAACTTTAATACATCAAGCACCTGATAGAGATGTTCACAGAACGTGTAACTTTAATACATCAAGCACCTGAGAGAGATGTTCACAGAATGTGTAACTTTAATACATCAAGCACCTGAGAGAGATGTTCACAGAATGTGTAACTTTAATACATCAAGCACCTGAGAAAGATGTTCACAGAATGTGTAACTTTAATACATCAAGCACCTGAGAGAGATGTTCACAGAATGTGTAATTTTAATACATTAAGCACCTGAGAGAGATGTTCACAGAATGTGTAACTTTAATACATCAAGCACCTGAGAGAGATGTTCACAGAATGTGTAACCTTAATACATCAAGCACCTGATAGAGATGTTCACAGAATGTGTAACTTTAATACATCAAGCACCTGATAGAGATGTTCACAGAATGTGTAACTTTAATACATCAAGCACCTGAGAGAGATGTTCACAGAACGTGTAACTTTAATACATCAAGCACCTGAGAGAGATGTTCACAGAATGTGTAACTTTAATACATCAAGCACCTGAGAGAGATGTTCACAGAATGTGTAACTTTAATACATCAAGCACCTGATAGAGATGTTCACAGAATGTGTAACTTTAATACATCAAGCACCTGATAGAGATGTTCACAGAATGTGTAACTTTAATACATCAAGCACCTGAGAGAGATGTTCACAGAATGTGTAACTTTAATACATCAAGCATCTGAGAGAGATGTTCACAGAATGTGTAACTTTAATACATCAAGCATCTGAGAGAGATGTTCACAGAATGTGTAACTTTAATACATCAAGCACCTGAGAGAGATGTTCACAGAATGTGTAACTTTAATACATCAAGCACCTGAGAGAGATGTTCACAGAATGTGTAACTTTAATACATCAAGCACCTGAGAGAGATGTTCACAGAACGTGTAACTTTAATACATCAAGCACCTGAGAGAGATGTTCACAGAATGTGTAACTTTAATACATCAAGCACCTGAGAGAGATGTTCACAGAATGTGTAACTTTAATACATCAAGCACCTGATAGAGATGTTCACAGAACGTGTAACTTTAATACATCAAGCACCTGATAGAGATGTTCACAGAATGTGTAACTTTAATACATCAAGCACCTGAGAGAGATGTTCACAGAATGTGTAACTTTAATACATCAAGCACCTGAGAGATGTTCACAGAATGTGTAACTTTAATACATCAAGCACCTGAGAGAGATGTTCACAGAATGTGTAACTTTAATACATCAAGCACCTGAGAGAGATGTTCACAGAATGTGTAACTTTAATACATCAAGCACCTGAGAGAGATGTTCACAGAATGTGTAACTTTAATACATCAAGCACCTGAGAGAGATGTTCACAGAATGTGTAACTTTAATACATCAAGCACCTGAGAGAGATGTTCACAGAATGTGTAACTTTAATACATCAAGCACCTGATAGAGATGTTCACAGAACGTGTAACTTTAATACATCAAGCACCTGAGAGAGATGTTCACAGAATGTGTAACTTTAATACATCAAGCACCTGAGAGAGATGTTCACAGAATGTGTAACTTTAATACATCAAGCACCTGAGAAAGATGTTCACAGAATGTGTAACTTTAATACATCAAGCACCTGAGAGAGATGTTCACAGAATGTGTAATTTTAATACATTAAGCACCTGAGAGAGATGTTCACAGAATGTGTAACTATAATACATCAAGCACCTGAGAGAGATGTTCACAGAATGTGTAACCTTAATACATCAAGCACCTGATAGAGATGTTCACAGAATGTGTAACTTTAATACATCAAGCACCTGATAGAGATGTTCACAGAATGTGTAACTTTAATACATCAAGCACCTGAGAGAGATGTTCACAGAATGTGTAACTTTAATACATCAAGCACCTGAGAGAGATGTTCACAGAATGTGTAACTTTAATACATCAAGCACCTGAGAGAGATGTTCACAGAATGTGTAACTTTAATACATCAAGCATCTGAGAGATGTTCACAGAATGTGTAACTTTAATACATCAAGCATCTGAGAGAGATGTTCACAGAATGTGTAACTTTAATACATCAAGCACCTGATAGAGATGTTCACAGAATGTGTAACTTTAATACATCAAGCACCTGAGAGAGATGTTCACAGAATGTGTAACTTTAATACATCAAGCATCTGAGAGAGATGTTCACAGAATGTGTAACTTTAATACATCAAGCATCTGAGAGAGATGTTCACAGAATGTGTAACTTTAATACATCAAGCACCTGAGAGAGATGTTCACAGAATGTGTAACTTTAATACATCAAGCACCTGAGAGAGATGTTCACAGAATGTGTAACTTTAATACATCAAGCACCTGAGAGAGATGTTCACAGAACGTGTAACTTTAATACATCAAGCACCTGAGAGAGATGTTCACAGAATGTGTAACTTTAATACATCAAGCACCTGAGAGAGATGTTCACAGAATGTGTAACTTTAATACATCAAGCACCTGATAGAGATGTTCACAGAACGTGTAACTTTAATACATCAAGCACCTGATAGAGATGTTCACAGAACGTGTAACTTTAATACATCAAGCACCTGAGAGAGATGTTCACAGAATGTGTAACTTTAATACATCAAGCACCTGAGAAAGATGTTCACAGAATGTGTAACTTTAATACATCAAGCACCTGAGAGAGATGTTCACAGAATGTGTAACTTTAATACATCAAGCACCTGAGAGAGATGTTCACAGAATGTGTAACTTTAATACATCAAGCACCTGAGAGAGATGTTCACAGAATGTGTAACTTTAATACATCAAGCACCTGAGAGATGTTCACAGAATGTGTAACTTTAATACATCAAGCAC